CTATAGCAACGTAGCGGATGGGCTAAACTGCAATTACCCACACTATATATAATGTATTTAAAAATACTTTTACTTTAAAACCCAAAAGGTATAAGAGCTGCAGATATATGCGCTAATTCTCGAGCTTATCGCACATAATAAAAGTTCTTATAGTAATTATCCTGGACAAAAAAACGATAAAACGTTAAAGAAACTATAAATGAAATAAAATGACGATAAAAAATGGCTACTTGATAATTGTGACTCTTGTTTTGATTCTAAGGTATTTTGTAACCCTTTCCTGTCCAAATACGTATACGCCGCGCACGCAGTGCGTTAATACATTGCGCTGTAAAATACATACAGTATCGTGATAATTGGCATGTACAAACATTGCCATGCCGTGGGAATTTATCACTGAAAGAAATGAAACGACCACACACGAATCGAATTTTGTTTTAACTCACGAGTAATGATATTTGAACGGAGTACATTTCACTCGTTTGGTGTATCTGTTAGAATCGTAGCTTACATTGAATGCTACACATGTACGCTTTGCTTTGACTTTTCGATGTTTTTTGGATAATCATGTTTAGCTCGTATACATTACATGGTTAAAGTTATATATGTATATATATTTATATATATGTGTGTGTGTGTGTGTGTGTGTGTGTGTGTGTGTGTGTGTGTGTGTGTGTGTGTGTGTGTGTGTGTGTGTGTGTGTGTGTGTGGAATGAATATACTCTTATTCTAGACCAATTGAGTTATCTATGTGCACATTACCGTAGATATCACGTAGAACACTATATTATCTACTACGCTCTATATAAATTCAAGAAATGCATTTTTCAATTATCCAACCATTCCACAATTATAAATAAAAATAAACAGTAAAGATCTTAGATTCTTACATTGATATTCGATAGTAAAATAGATTACATTATAAACATAACGTGTTAATGGGAAAGGTTGGCCCGCATTAGAGACTACAATACCATTTATTTTTTACGGTGATATCTAACCAAATTGGAAGATGTTTCACTATCATTTAGATTCGCAGAATAACCTTATTGCCATCCGACAACCTCAAGCATATAGCCATTGCGTTGAACTGCGCTTAATAATATAGTGCTGAGGAGGGATACACATCGCACACTGTCACGTATACTAATGTTATTCGCACTAATGGCCTATGCGTGAACCTCTTCTCCTTCAAGCCTCAACTATATAAACATTGAGAAGTTTAACGAAAGCTTGGTTAATGATATACGTAGTGACCTTTTTAATGTATTGCAATATTTTCCAAATCATCTTAGTTACGTAGGTTTTTGTATGATGTGCGTATGGTCACTTACAAAGTTATAATGCTGGTCCTCCGTTTTTGTTTCATATATATTATCAGGAGTAGATAATAGAAGATCTTTTATTATCTACTCCTGATATTATATATATATATATATATATATATATATATATATATATATATATATATATAATACTCGTGCTATAGGTTCGTGCTAGACCATTAATTAGAGACAATGCTCAGCGGTATAGATATATATATACATGAGTCTTCAGATAAACGGTGTAGCGAAGTGATAAATATTATGTCAAGTTTTGAATGTCTCCCGACGCTTTCAACAGCATGCAATCTACTCTAATTTAAATTAAACAGGCGCCAGAAATCTGCATTATATATGAATTTGTTTACGAATACCCGGGCATCGGTGTTATGTTAGAATGGAAGATCTTAGTAAAGACGCGATTCACAGAGCATGTAACGTTGATCGTACGTTGGAACAAATAAGTAGTTAATCAGTGCACGAGAATCACACTAACGTAGCACAGGCATCAATCATTAAACTTTTAAAGCACGTTTTAATGTTAATATTTGATTCGTCACTATGGAGGGAGCTATGTGAGCGCAGTATTTAAATGTGTCTAGACGGACGGGAAATACCCAGTGTTTGATGGGTAATCATTTAATCAATAAGTCTGTTTAATAATTGCAGTATCGTCGTTGTCAACGACGCCGTTGTTAATGACGCAATCGTCGCTGTCGTCATCGTCGTCGTTTCCGTATCTGTCGTTTCCATGGTTATTGTCAATAGAGGTGGTGCTGCCGTCATCGTTTTCGTCGTCGTCGTCGTCGTCGTCGCCGTTTTCATGGTTATTGCCGTTTTCGTCATTGTTATTCATCGTCGTCACCGCCTGTGTCGATTTCGTTGCCTCTGTCTTTAGTGGTGGTGACGTCCTCATCGTTATTGTTGCTTCTGCGGCTGCTATTATTTTCCCATTTACTTTCAACTGCGGAATCTGTTCATACACCTCCACAAACTGTGTGCGTTCGCGCTGCGCAGTCAGACAGTCACGCGTACGCAATTTTTTAACATGGGGCTGGCGCTTGATTAATCACCTACCAATGCTAGTCGTATTTGTCAGAGTAGTGTATACTAGCACAAGACAAGACGTTGTAATGTAAGCTAGGTATTACGTTATAGTGTAAGCTAAACAGTACGTTATAGTGTAAGCTAGACAGTA